ATGTGGTATAAAATCATATGATTAAGTTTGATGAATATATAATAGAGACATATTTTTAAGAATAGTCAATGTAATCTGTAAAAAAAAAAAATAGAAGAAAAAAGGGTGTTTATTTTTTAAAAAATGACTATTTTTGGAAATCGAATGTATAATTATTTTATTTCATTATTTTCAGGTAGGTCAAATTTTGCACATTCCTTTTCCAAAATCAGTTTAATATTCCGTAACGTAAATAGTTTATTTTTCCGGTTTTAAGAGTTTCATATCTCTCAATTTTCACAAAGATCCTATAAAAACGAATTCCTTTTTGCCATAACGAAATCCAGGGAAATAAGTCCAAACGAAATCCCAAATGGAAAAGAAATAAAATATAGAGAGAGGACTGAAAAAATTACGCACAGTAAAAAGACTTCTGTAATTTTGTTCCTATTGTTATTACGTAATATTACTCAGCCTTGTTTGTAAGAGGTGTTAGCTTAAACAGATTAACACGTTTAAATAAGCATTCCTACCTGTCCGATCTTGTGTGGACTAAAACTGTCAACAACAACATTTTACAATTAATTAAACAATGTCTAAATTGTGTGCACTCAAGTAAGGAATTACGAAGGATGCAATGAACAGGTAATTTTTTTTTATCCACCCCCATTTTGAAAAAAAAAATCAATTATATATCGGTTTTAAAAAATCAAATTGGTTAAATAAGAAATAATATTTTACAATTTGATACCACAATTTTAGAGAAAAAAGTTTATTTGAATTGTTCGTGATTTGTAAACCTGTAATAACCAATGTTTTCCTATCCACAATATCCGACCAATAAATGAAACAAATACCTAAAAATGATTGAATAAATAAATAAATAAATAAATAAATAAATAAATAAATAAAAAATAAATAAATAAATAAATATACAAACAAATAATATATATACATCTGTGTTGAAATGCAAAATCTTTAAATAGAAGGTGAATTTTACTTAGATACTGGATTGAGATTCACGGCGGGGGTATCATTAATTGAGTTCAGTGCTCACAGTACCTCTAGTTTTTACTTACTTTGACATCCTTTTACGTTGTGAAATATGAGTTTGGTATCCTTTCACAGTTTGAGAAAATACCTGATGTCACTTTTATCTAAAAAATAAATCACAGCGTTCCACTGTTGAAAATGAAATAAATACGCATAGTGCCAAAAAGTAATTAGAAGATCCGATTTACTGGGTTGTATAAATAGTACTACATACTCGTATACTCATACATGTATTTATAACATGGTTGTTGGTAAATTTGATATACATTGTACTAGCATACATACGTCACTAAGGAGCTATTGGAATTGAAGTTCTATTCTTGAAAACACCATAATGATTCTTCAAATATCATCTACTGTTTAACTGTACACTAACCGTCTTTCTGACACATTTTATGATATTCACATATATTTACATTTGCAAATGCTTTCCTTTATATAACACTACCAAAAGGAATGCGTATCTATAACTGTATAAATACAGGTACGGGGTCAAGAGGTCATAGATGTGCGTATGGATAATCGTTTGACGTAATTTCTCAGTGACGTCATAAAGGGTCGACGCGCGTTCAGTGGATTACATACTTGCCGTTGAGTTTGAAAAATAACGCATTTCACACGCTTAAAGTCACAATCAGGTAAATATAAAGTATGAATAAGTCACAAATGTAAATATAAGTAATAAGGTATCATTTTAAAACATTTAGATCGTGTGCTATAAATGATTGCTTTTTATTACACATTAAATTCAGGTTTTTTCATAAAGCCCTTCGGGCTTTATGGAATTTAATCTCGTGACCGACCCGTATTTATATCCCGATAGATGTTTAAAAATGATACCTTATTTCTTAAATACATGTATCTTCATCTTTACTTATCTTGCAGACAAGTTCGAAGTCGCAAACTCTCCCCGCTTCGCGTGGGCAAGTTGCCTAAGATTAGAGTGAGAAACCGGAAGGCATTGCCCACAAGACCCTCTTCCGAATGTCTGATTCGACATCCGGCGGAGCTGTCCGTCCGTCCCAACGGAATGTCTGTCCGCCCTAATAGTTCCCGCCCCGAGGGTGTCATAGACAACAAACATTCATTCATTAAAGTGGCTCGTAAAGTTAATAATATCATGAAAATGAGAAGGAGAAAAAGGACATCCAAGTCATCGAATGAAGACGAAAGCGACGAATACGAGGATGAAAGTTCAGACTGTGAAACTGATTTAGATGGTGTGTATATCAACATGATTACTTTATCTATATTTTTAAATACAGTTTGTCTACACATATATTGTTTTATTTATACTTAAGGGGAAAATTACAGTAGAAAAACATATATTTTTTTGTTTGGTTAGATGTTGATTTCATTGGGGTGAAAAGACACCATGCAAACGAAGACCTTCAGTATCGCTCGCTGTGTGAAGAATTAGGGGTTATTCCTTGCAATGCCTTCGTTCGTCAGCTGAGTAAGCAAAACGCAAACTTATCGTATAATCAGCTTTTGCCGATAGACTTCCGGGCCATTTCAATTATTCTCATTGTGAGTACTAGAAATACAAGTATCGGGATATCCATAACTGCTTCACTAAAAAAAAAAAACAAACAAAAAAAAACCAAAATCAAAAGAGTATCAATGGTTTTATTTGTTTTGTTTTACAATTATACACAAACATATTTTTGTGTTCCTCAATTTTTAAAAAGTGAAACTGTTGTATGTTTGTTTGTACAGTTGTAATTACAGATCTTGTTTCAATATGTTGGAATATAAATACTATATTTCAGAATAACGCGTGTATAACGTCCCTGAATGTCTCGAACAACAACCTTGGTACCGAGGGTGTCGTCTACCTTGCTGACGTCATAACAGAAAATGTTTTCATCGAAAAATTGGTGAGTTTAGAAAAGCAACACTTTTTCTCACAGTCATCTTATAAACTAGTCAAATAATATACACATATGTATACATCCATTATGAATACATACTGCTGCTTACCTTAAGCAATAAACATAATATATTTCCATCTTGAACATATACTGGTTAAGCAAAATGGAAAATGTCAATAGTCAATTTTTTCATGGATTTTTCATCAATATGATGTATAGATCAGATGAAATAGCCGTACATAAAATTAAATATTTCACTACTTATTTTCCAAATTTAGAGTTAGAGGTGGCCTTAGATAACGACAGAGAGTTAATCTCAACATAAGAAATGAAGGGGAACATTATTAATGCAATCTGCATATTTTTTCTAATTTAAGGAAATGTCTGCTGTTAATATGGATACAACAGGATTTAAATCACTGACCAAAGCTCTCCTGGAAAATAAGAGTATAACATATTTAGACATATCAAGTAAGTCTGTGAATAATTACTGATATTCATGTATATCTATCCATATAGCTCCACGGTCCGAAATCTGAATAAAACTCTCCTACATCGTCTCAAGCCACGTCCGTATAGTCTGAAAATAGCTTTCTCCTACATCGTCTCAAGCCGCAGTCTGCATTCTGCACATAGCATTGTATTAATTCGTTTCAAGCCACGGTCTGTATTCTAAATATAGCATTGTATTACATCTTTTCAATCCACCGACCACGATCTGTATTTTGCATATAGCATTGTATTACATTGTCCCAAGCCACGGTCTATATTCTGCACATAGCATTGGCTTACACTGTCTCAAGCCACATACTATATTCTGCACATAGCATTCTCTTACACTGTCTCAAGACATGGTCATATTCTGTATATAGCATTCTCTTACATCGTCTCAAGACACGATTGTATTCTGCATATGGCATTCTCTTACATTGTCTCAAGCCACGGTCTGTATTTTGCATATATATCATTCTCTTACATTGTCCCAAGGCACGTTCTGTATTCTTCATATAGCATTCTCTTACACTGTCTCAATCCACGGTCTGTATTCTGAAGAAAGCATTCTCTTACATTGTCTGAAGCCACGGTCTGTATTCTGCATAAAACGTTTTCATTGCATTGTCCCTAACCACGGTCTGTATTTTACATAAAGCATTCTCTAACACTGTCCCAAGCCACGGTCTGTATTCTGCACATAGCATTCTCTTACACTGTCCCAAGACACTTCTGTATTCTGCATATAGCATTCTCTTACATTGTCCCTAATTACTGTCTGTATTCTGCATAAAGCATTCTCTTACATTGTCTCAATCCACGGTCTGTATTCTGCATATATCATTCCACGGTCTGTATTCTGCATATAGCATTCTATTACATTATCTACAGCCATGGTCTGTATTCTTCATATAGCATTCTCTTACATTGTCCCTAACCACGGTCTGTATTCTGCATTTAGCATTCCCTCACACTGTCCAAATCCACAGACTCTATCCTGCATATTGCTTTCTCTTACATTGTCTCAATCCACGAACTGTATTCTGCACATAGCATTGTATTACATCGTTTCAAGCCACGGGTCTGTATTAGCATTTAGCATTTCCTTACACTGTCCAAATCCACGGACTGTATCCTGCATATAGTGTCTCTTACACTGTCTCAGGACACGGTCTGTATTCCGCATATATCATCTACATCCACCGTCTGTATTCTGCATATAGCATTCTCTTAAACTGTCTCAATCCACGATCTGTAGTCTGCATGTCGTATTCTGTATTATGCATATATCATTCTTTTGCATTGTCCCAATCCACGGTCTGTATTCTGCATAAAACATTCTCTTGCATTAACTAAATCATCCTCTTTCATTGTCTCAATCCACGGTCTGTATTCTGCATAAACTAGTATCATTCTCTTACATTGTCTCAGGCCACGGTCCGTTGTCTGAAAATAACTCTCACCAACATCGACCTCAAGTCATGTTCCGAAGTCTGAAAATAGCTATTTCCAACACTGTCTCAAGCAACAGTCCTTAGTCAATACAACTCTTTTATAATTGTCTCAATACACCGTAGTTCGATTATAGCTCTCTCTCTTTCATTGTTTTATTCCACGATCTTAAGTCTGCATATAGCGCTATCTTACACTGTCTCAAGCCACGGTCCGTAGTCCATATTGCTATCTTTCCTACATCATCCAAGCCAAGGTCCATACTCCACATAGCTCTCTCCTACATCGACTCAAGCTAAGCATACTCGACATAGCTCTCTCTCCTACATCGACTCAAGCCACGGTCCGTACTCCACATAGCTCTCTCCTACATCGTTTTAAACCACGATCTTTAGTCTGCATTAAGCGCTCTCTTACACTGTCTCAAGCCACGGTCCGTAGTCCATATTGCTATCTTTCCTACATTATACCAAGTCAAGCTCCATACTCCACATAGCTTTCTACTACATCGTCTCAAGCCACGGTCCGTATTCCACATAGCTCTCTCCTACATTGTTTTAAACCACGATCTTTGGTCTGCATATAGCGCTCTCTTACACTGTCTCAAAACATGGTCCGTAGTCCATATTAGTCTTTCCTACATCATCCCAAGCCAAGCTCCATACTCCACTTAGCTCTCTCCTAGATCAACTCAAGCCAAGGTCCATACTCCACATAGCTTTCTCCTACCTCCTCACAATTTACCTTGATTTTCAGCGGTGGAGAGGTCTTACATTTCGGGCCTGGTTTGCGACGATGGGAAGATTGTAAATCGGCAGGAAGGGAAAGGATCCACATTTTACTTTTCCACAATTTTCTTACTCACCAGAAAATACTACCCCTAATTCCTGCTAACTAAATTATAGTGATTTAAAGAATTTTTCAAATTCATGACAAATATGAAAATGACAAATAACAATTTTTCATTGAAGAAAACAACATTGACAAGAAAAACGCCGAGGATTTGGCCAAATTTATAAGGGTAAGTATTTGACTTCTAGAGAATATTGCAGTTCTTAATAACCTTGATATATATATATTTAAATGACACATAATCCCGGGCATTTCTTACTTTTCAGTCAAACGACTACATAGAGCACCTAAATATATCTGGAAATCTGATCGACAGTGACACAGGATGCATCATAGGACCAGCAATAGGTACATGGCATGTAAATAAATTATTTACTCTATACTATTGCTGAATTAGTTCGTTAGATTTCTTTAATTTAATTGTCTATTCATTAATAATAATTAATTGTTATTTATACTTGCAGCGTCGAATTTAACGATAAAATACCTCGATCTCAGCTGGAATCATATTCGTCGTCAAGGTGCTCGCGTAATCACAGAATCTATTTGTGTAAGCTTTTTCATGTTTATGTCATTTTCCTTCAAGAGATCAATGACTTTTCTGAACTTAATTCAGTTTCTTGTAAAATGACGAACATATGTTTTCACTATGTCCAAACGTTATTTTGAAAACACTGTAAAATCGTCATGTAATGTTAAAGTATCAGCATAATCTAAAATTTCAATACTTTTGCTTTCTTTGAAGAAAAACGTGGAGCTTGAACATGTTAATCTCTCTTGGAATGGACTGGCAGAGTATGGATGCAGAGCTTTCGGTGCAAACCTCTCAAAAAATCAAACGCTACGAATTCTGGACATTTCCCATAATAGGATAACGTTTCATACTTTGGGCAATTTTCTGAAAGGCTTGCAAACCAACAGTTCTCTGCGAAACTTGAAGGTGAGCTATAAGGGAAAAAATTAAAAACTTCTTTTACAAACATATTTACTTTTGTAGAGGTTATCATTAACCATTTTATATTATAGATTTATGGAAATCCCATTACTACAGATGGCGCCTTAGCCATCCTGAAGGTGTATGAGAATACTCAGTCATCTGCACTGGAAGAAATCGACATACAGGTAAGAAACAGAATAGGTAAATGAAAATCGTGCATCATGATCCTCAATCTTAATTAACATATAATCCCTTAGAGTATTATTTGACGATTGTGACAGAATTCAGTCTTTTTTCTCAAGGTGAAGGTGCAATGAAATCATAGCCTGCTAGCTATCATCAGATTAAAATCAGCTTCTCGGAAACCGTAGTTTTTCAGAACAGCTGATTTTTTTAGATTGTGCTTGCCATAACTTTTTTATGTCCCTTCTTCAGAACTTCATTTGATCATTAAGCGTTTTGTAATCTTGGATTAACTCCTGAATCCATGTCTCCAGGGTCAAGGTCAAATAACAATAATCGATCACCCTTTTTAACCATGTAATCCTTTGGATTGAATAAAGGATCAGAATGTTGCAGCTTTTGATCTGATCATTTTAAACCATGTTTTTCTCAAAAAGGGTTTAATATAAAAAAAAAATTTCGATCATCATCATCATCATCCAGTGACCTTCAACATTTCAAAGTAAAACTTAGAGAAATGATAAAAACTCTGAATGAGCTTCACCCGTCTTTTGATTTTATCCAATTTATGAATTTATTTGCTGCAGGACATTCCAATAGATGGAAACTTTCAAAGTCAAGCGTGGGATCTGATGGAGAAAAGAAATATCACATTAAGACACCGGGACCTGGTCACTAAGCCTATCACTCACATCGAACGAACTCGACATCTGAATGACTTTAATCCTGTTCTGATTTTGTTTGAGTACATGCGCCAAGAAGGCTTCCGGTTGGTTGATCTGTTTCGAACATTAGATACCGATAATGACAGACAAATATCACGTGGTGAACTTTTGGCCGGCTTTGCTGTAAGTTAACAATTCTCTGATTGACTTTCTATCATTGAAATAATTTCACTCATATATATATATATATATATATATATATATATATATATATATATATATATATATATATATATATATATATATATATATATATATATACAGTATATATATATATATATATATATATATATATATATATATATATATATATATATATATATATATATATATATATATATATATATATATATATATATATATATCCTTTTATAAATTAAATCCACTGAAATGAGATTAGCAAAAGAAAACTACTTCATAAATCTTTTTTAACTAAGAACAAACATTAACATTATATATATATACACACATGTTTATAAAATGTCGATTTTTTTTTTACAGAAAATGAATGTCCACTTGACAAATACACACATAGATCAAATGCTTGGAATTTTAGATAAAGACGGAAACAACACCATTGATTACAGGTAGATGGCAGAACTTCTGATTTTTTTTTTTTTTACAGTTTAAATCAAATTTTCTCATTATTTCATGTTTTGCTTATTGTTTTCTTCTTCTTCAGTGAAATGATAAAGGGTCGACGATATGCCGATCACATTCGCCAGTCTTCCCAGAAATGTGGTAGGGAGAATCTAGCCGAGATGATGGTGGATCTGCAAAAGCTGATGAAGAAAGCAAGAATAGAGAAACATGCGATAAAATCGGCCAGTAAACGTAAACCGCAGCTACTTCCAGACAGTTTGTGAAGCTTATAATCAACATCATACAAAGTCATGGACTTGACGTGAAAAGAATACTCTACAATGTAGTATAGCTTAGCCCAAGAATGGTTCCTGAAAAGACTAAACGAGTTTTCGAGCAATCTATTAAAAATAACAGTATTTATTAAAGCATTCCTTTTTCGTCCATTTTACTGAGGAATTTCGCCTGAGATTAGACTTTATTTTATAAAAGTTACCATTTTGAGCAGTCCATCTTCCAAGATGAAACGGATTCGCGATTTTCACTTTTTTTGTATTTATTCTGTAGTTATTTGTGAATTTTGCATTTCCCAGATACTAGTGATCTGGCACAGAAAAGCTTGTTAGTTGTTAAACATAAACCCATTTTAGCACATGGGGATACCTTAATTTTTCAAGACCTTGAGGGCGACATGCTCAATTGTTATGAGCATATGCTAAGTACTTGAATGCAACGTTACTTTTGTCAGCATTTTTCAAGGATGCCACCTCGATAGAATTTGAAGACAATGAAGCAATCTGCCAAACTACAAGTATATCACACTACTGAGTGAAACTTATTGTGTCCATTACAATTAGATGTTCTTTCTTTTTCGACTTATATATCACCTGCATCTAAATATTCAAAATGACTATGCAGAAAAACATTGTAATCTTAGACTCAATAGGGCTGACGAAAAAATTGAATAATTTCGTTTTTCGAGAATTCAAAATACAAGGGTTTAAAAACAGAAGATTGTATGAAAATCGTATCCAATCATAAATGAAGATTTATTTCAAATGTTCATCTGAACGGTATGTATTTTACCCTTTCTAGCTCATCTGATCTGGAAGCTCAAGTGAACATTTCTGATCATCCTTTGTCCGGTTTCCGTCTGTCTGTCTTTCTAGCTGTCCGTAAACTTTCACATTTTCACTTCTTTTTAAGAACACTGTCAATTTCAAAGAAACTTACAACAGTACCACATTGTATCCTTGGATAAAGGGGTTTCAAGTTTGTTCAATTGAAGGGCTATCATAATGGTTTCTTCCCAGGCAAATTAGTGAAAAAATGAATTATATATATTCTAAAACCACCTTCTACTCAAGAACAATTGGGCTAGTGAAAAGTGAAACATAAATGGATGCATGCTAAAGTATTGTAGATTAAAGTTTGTTCAGATAATGATCCCCAAGAATAGGGAAGAGCTACAATGAGGGGAAAAATTTTTACATAGGAAAAACAAAGAAATTTTCTCAAACATAGCAAAGAAGCATCCCCAGGTACCGAAAATTTAAGTTTGTTCAAACTAAATTGTTACATAGGAATGCATTGCAAAAACGAGATGTGTTTGTGAAACACTGATGCGCCGTATGACAGCTTGTGGCGAGGGTTAGACTTTCTCAAATGCAGGTCAAACTCTCAGGACAAGGTCAAAATTGTTGGTATCTAAATGAAAGTTTTGTTATATTGGAATAAACCTATGAAATATGACAGCCCTAGTACTAACTTTTCAAAAGTTACGACGAAGGTTAAAGTGGGTCAAACTCTAAGGTAAGGTCAAAGATAAAAAAAAATATTTATACCCTTAAAAGGTCTTGTCACAGTGAGGTATGAAAGCCCTCCATGTATCATCAACTGTTCAAAGTTGAAGACAAAGTTAAAGTTTGGTTATTTTGTGGAAAAGTGGTACAATTTCCAAGGTCAAGGTGAACAGGTCAAATTTGGTGGTACCCAAAGAAGGTCTTGTCATAAGGAATACACCTGTGAAATACGAAAACCATAGAAAAATGATGATCTCAAGAACAGCAAAACTATGATAATTCATATGAATTCAGAAACATCCTCAGGTAGTGTGTGGATAACGGTGTAAGGTGTGTTCATCCCAGGGGATGGGACAAGACCGTAATTGAAGATCAAACGTAAAGGAACAAATATTTATAAATCTATTAAAGTCATGATAAGTATGAGAAAGCACCTTTAGGTAGTGTAGATTTACGTTTATTGAAAGCATTTTCCTCATTTTATATTTTAACTTTTCAATACTGAACTGATATCTGCTTTTTCCTTGCCAAAGTCTCAGGTGCGCGATGTGACACGGGCCTCTTGTTCACTTTCCCTTGAAAATCGGAACGAGACTTTAATTCCGTAAGTAAGAGAAGTGTATTGATATTAGTTTCTGTGATTATTTTAATTTTATGTAAATCCTCTAGAACTTCAGTAAGACCCGGTTGGACAATGAAGTCATGACAAAGAATGGATTTTAATTTCTATAACGATGATGTGCTTCAAATAATGAAGGAAGTAAAACCAACTTGGCAGAAAATTTAATTGCTAATTAACGGAGAAGAGAGGCCCGTTTGCCACAATGTTCACAAGAGACGCCCTACTATTCTGCATCAGATTATTCCCCCCAAAATGGATGTATTCCTTTGTGTTGTAGATTACCTTTATAGTTGCTCTACCTGTACGCAGGGGCCATGATTTGGGCAGAAATAAATTAACACTACCAGAGGATGTTTCCATATATAATTTGCTATTGAGAAAATACGTTTAAAAATCTCCCCAATATACATGTAATCCCTACTGTGACCCCACCCTACCCCTAGGAGCAAGGGTCTGAAATAAAATCTACACTAGCTTAGGAGATTTCATCCAGTTTAACTTTTTTTTATCTATGAGTTCTTCAGAAGTTTTTTATTTCAATGTAAAAAACTGATTCATTTTTTGCCCACTCTGACCCCTGGGACAATAATCTGAACAATTTACAATCTAGGCAGCATAGGAAATCAGTCGGTGTTCTAGCGCTGCGGGTTTTAGTACCCGAATATATAATACAATGTAAATCTTTGATCTCTTTTTTCTCTGGCCAACCCCAGGTAACTTGATTTGCACAAGGAAGAATCTACGTTACCGCAAGATGTTTCCAGGTGAGCTTGAGATAAAAGAGACCACATAGTCTGACACATCTGTTTCATACTTGGATATTTTAATTGAAAAATGCGTGAATGGTAATCTAACAACCAAGCTCTATGATAAACGTGATGACTTTAATTTTTCTATCGTCAACTTCCCTTACTTATGCAGCAACATTCCTTCACCACCTGCATACGGAGTTTAAAAATCTCAGTTGATTCGATACGCAAGAGCATGCTCTACGTATGAGCAATTTCTACATGACGTAGATTATAGACAAAAGTTGATGAAACAAGAATATCAACAGTCTCGTTTAAAGTCGTCATTTCGTAAGTTCTATGGTCGATACAATGACCTTGTCAGCAAAATAATACAATTTATCATTGGGTCAAATGGTGACTGACGTTTTTCATACCAATTGTTAGTCCATTATTTATACACTAAATTGACCGCGGATTTATCCGTTATTTTCTGATGATTAAAAGGAGCACACGGCGTTGTGACCGGTCGGCAGGGGATGCTCACTCCTCCATGGCACCTGATCCCACCTCTGATGTTTTGGAGGTCCGTGTTTGTTCTGCTCCTATTTTGTATTGTTTTATGGACATTGATATTGAATACTGTTCGTTATCTCCATATCCTTCCATTTAAGATTCATCTTTTCATGCCCTCGTAAGCGAAGATTCGGGTATACATGCATGTAGTTTTTGCCTTGCCCGTCCGTAGGTCTGTCTGTTTGTTCGCAAAAAACCTCTTACCAATAACTTTTGATTCGTTGAAGCTACTACTTTCAAATATTTCACATGTGTACTCCTTAGAAAAGGGTCTTCCTTTGGGTACCAATATATTTGACTTTTTGACCTTGGAATTTGACCCCCTTTTGCACAAAATTTTCCAACTTTAACATTGGTCATAACTTTTGTTTGTGCTAGGGTTTTGATACTTAATAGGTATATTTATTGTAGCAAGACCTTTCTAAGTATGTGAATATTTTTCACCTTGACTTTTGAGTTTGACCGACTTAAAAAAAAACTTTTTTTTTCTTGTGTGTAACGTTGAACCGTTAGTACTTGGGCCTTCATATTTCACAGATGTATACCTTGTGGCAAGACCGTAGTTTGGATACCAACAATTTTGATCTTGATTTAAGGGCTTGACATACTTTTAAAGTCATAACTTTTGAACAGATTTTGCTAGGCTTTAATATTGCACATGTATATTTTTTAATGACAAGGCATTTCCCAGGGTACCATAATTTTACCTTTTGACCATGGAATTTGACCCACATTTTAAAAAGTTTAATTTTGGTCATAACTTTTAAATGATAGTATGGTTAGTGCTTCACAGGTAAAAATTATTGAGAAAAGTCCTTTCTTTTGGTAAAAAAAAATCTCTTGACCTAGAGGTTTCACGTGCATTTGAGAAACTTTTACTTTTGCCAAAAGCTGCCATATGAGATGGGGGCATCAGTGTTTTACAAACACATCATGCCTGGTCTAGCGGTTGTTCTTCAAAAGATTTTAAAGATTTTCTTCTATATATTTCAATGAAATATTTTCTTTTCTTTTTCCCTTAGAAGTGAACTAGATCCTTAATTTTAGTTAATTAGAATTAACTATACCCGAAGATGTTTTCTACCAACTTTGGTTAAATTTGTCCTAGTAGTTATTGAGAAAAAATAACAGACAGACGGACTGCAGACAATGGATGATCAGAGAAGCACACTTGAGCTTTCAGAGGGATCCTGTCAAACCTTAACAAAAGAACCAATCATCACATATACATTAAAAAGAAAGAATGATGTTTGGAGCAAATAAAAAGTGATTTGCACTAATAGTTGCAAATTCCAGAGTTTAAGATTTAGTAAAATAGGAAATAAACAAGACGTGTTTGTGAAACACTGATGCCCCCCGTATGGCAGCTTATGGCGAGGGTTGAAATCTTTCAAATGCATGTCAAACTCCAAAGGTCAAAGTCAAAAGTGTGGTACCCAAAGGAAGGTCTTGTTACAAGAAATACACCTGTGAAATATGAAAGCCCTAGTTCTAACTGTTCAAAAGTTATGACCAAGATTAATGTTTTTAAAAAAATGACTCTTAGGTCAAGGTCAAAGATATTTATACCAGCTGAAAAGTCTTATCACAATGAATACACATGTACATGTAAAGGACGAAAGCCCTAGCTCCATGTTCAAAAATTATGGCCAAGGTTAAAGTGTGGTATTAATTAGCAAAAGGAGGTCAAACACCAAGGTTAAGGTCAAGAGGTCAATTTTGGTGATACCCAAAGAAAGGTCTTGTCACAAGAAATACACCTGTGAAATATGAAAGCCATAGCCCCACATACTCAATAGTGATGGAATAGGTTAAAGTTGACAACAGACAGAGAGACAAACG